TAAAACAATGGGAAAGGCCAGTTGAAGGGGGGAGGTGGTTGAGAAAAAGGGTCCAGGTGTTTGGAAGGTCTGAGAGATTTGAACAGACAACGAGAACAGATAATGAAGGGAACTGGAAGGGGGAAAGTTTGCTTTCAAATGGAGCTAAAGAGAGACACACAGGAGCCAGGTTCTTTTCAGGGCCAGGGAGGAAAGGTGCATATCAAAAGGTCAACAAATGGGAGCCAAATTCCTTTTGAAAAGGGGCAAAAGGGAAAAGGGGCAAAGGTAAACCCCTTCAGGTCTTCCTTGTTTAAATTTATCAGGGTTCCCATAAATTAGGGAGGACTTCCCTAATTTGCACTGGAGTTTGGCCTTTATCCTAATCCCCTTTCAAATACTGAAGGCTAGGGTATGGTTTCTGGAAAGGGGCATGCAGATAACAAAGCCCATCCTCTTCTACTTATTCCCCCTACCTCTTTCCCTTTTTCTATTGGGATCTCCTCTAAACATCTAATGACATTCAATGGTTCAACTTGTTTGAGACAGCTCCCCCAATCCTCACAAGGACCGGTGTTTTTAGGCCATTCTTTAGCAAGGGAGGAATATGGGAGCCTTTCCCAGCCAGGAATTTCCTGTTCTTTAACTTTAAGTTCTCCTGACTTTTTTAGGAACAGCATTGTGACACAGATCCTGCTTGTGACACCAATCGTAACAGTAAGGTGTTACAGGCTGCACAGCACTTATAATTTGTTTCATGGGTTTGGATCTGTACCCACAAAGACACATTCACACTTTTCCTAACTTCTTAATGATTTGATAATGGCAATAATCATAAACATACATGCACATAAATGTGATTAGATATGATTATACAATCTTAGAAGCAAAGACTATTAACAGAAAGATAGAGAGATAGAGAAGAAATTCATCACCAATCCTAGGAAGCACCAACTCCTGAGCACCTGTCTGGGGGAGTCCTGTGTCACAGCTGGCAGGGTCTCGCTTGGCAAAGTCCCTACAGCAGAGTGTCCTCTCCCAGGGAGACTCCCGAAGTCACTTTCCCAAGAAAGACCCTTTTTATCATCCCGACACAAAGAAGGCAGGGAGCCAAGGAACAGGTGATTGATCTTAAGGTCCTGAGAGTTTTGGCCAAAACTCTCCGTCCTCAAGAACAATCTTTGTTATGTCAGAAACATCTTGGATCAATACCCAAGAACTGGCCAAGTCCCTGGATGTTTACCTCAAGATTTGTTTTTTAAGGAATAGTTACCAAAGGTGGGTCTGGGTTGAAACAAATTCCAGAACAATATGTTAGGTCCCTTGACTTGGGCTGTGGGTAGGGAAGATCTTATACATTAACCGTTCAGGTGTATAACAACACATTTATTAATCTAGGCCAAGACACTTGCAAATATCAAGACTGGTTTAATGAGAATGATAGGAAAATTCAGAAGCTGCTAGATGAAAAACCACAACTCCATAGGGTTTATCAGAGTTACCATCTCTAAGAAGGCTGCATCTAACTCCATCAAAATTAGAGTGCAAGCAAAACTTAGAGAGATGCAGGATTTTTGGGTCAGTAAGAAGGCAGATGAAATTCTGTTTTATATTGATAGTAACAATCCAAAGTGCTTTTATGATGCCCTGAAGACTATGTATGGGCCAAAGTCCTATGGTGCATCTCAACTACTCAGTGCTGATGCATCCATATTGATTAATGATAAGGATATGATCCTGGAGAGATGGGTTGAATGCTTCCATGATATTCTCAATAGACTATCATCAACAAATGTTGAAGCCATTGATCATATACCTCAGCTTGAAGTCAATGCCTCTCTAGCCAAAATTCCAACTGCAGAAGAGGTTTTGAATGCCATTAGACTCAGCTTGTGTGGCGAAGCACCCGGTGCTGATTCTATTCCAGCTGAGATTTATAAGGCAGGGGCTCCACTGCTTTTGTAAGAGACTTACCAAGCACTCATATGGAGGTCAGAAGATGTGATCAAGGACACTCTCAAGGTCTCTCTGAAGAACTTGGGAATCCATAGAGAAACATGGGAGACACAGACAAAGGACTGCCCAGCATGGCATGCCTACATCAAAAAAAGTGCTATGCTCTATGAGCAAAGCAGAATTGCAGTACCTCAAAAGAAACATGAGATGGACAAATTTAGAGACATGTCCAGCACAAACGTTCATATGGACTGTTTGTGCCCAACCAGCTCAGCCACAGCTGGACACACTCTACTTTGACATGAACATAGCGGTGGTATCATTTTGTTTTTCTTTGAGAACAAAGGACAACAACCAACCAAAGTTCCTATTTATTGGCCAGTATCAGTTAGTTTTGATAATTATTGTCTTATACTATAGTTTAAGATCTGGAATTGCTAAACCTCCTTCCTTTACATTTTTTCATTAATTCCTTTGATATTCTTGACCTTTTGTACTTCCAGATGAATTTTGTTATTATTTTTTCTAGCTCAATAACATAATTTTTGGCAATTTAATTGGGGATAGCATTAAATAAATAGATTGATTGAGGTATACCCATGAATAATTAATATTTCCCCATTTATTTAAATTTGTTTTTTTAATAAAGTGTTTTCTAATTATGTCCATGTAGTTCCTGCATTTGTTTTGGTAGGTATACTCCCAGTTATTTTACACTCTCTCCAATTATTTTAAATGGGGTATCTCTTACTATCACTTTTTGCAGGGTTTTGTTGGTGATGTATAGAAACACTGATGATCTATGTGGGTTTATTTTATATTCTGCTACTTTGCTAAAATTATTGTTTCCACTAATTTTTTAGGGGACAAGGATCACGTTGGATGAAGTCATTGACTAAAACTCTGGTCTTTAAACATCTTTCAACAAGATTAAAAGCCCCAGAAAAACTCCCCATGAAAACAATCACATTCACTCTTCCCAAGCCCTGACTCCCCAGACTGGGGGCTGATGCTCTTGATTTATGAGTTTGCCAAGAACTTTACAAATGAAGGTCACACGTGAATCTTCTAAAAAAAAACTTCTAGCAGAGAAGCCTGTTTGATTGGATCACAGAGGACAGAAGAGGGAATAATAGCTTTGGAGGTTGGAGATTGAGTCCCCAAGTTGTGACAGGCTTTGAAAGCTAAATAGAGATATTTGTGTTTTTTTCTAGGGGACCATAAGGAATTACTGGAGTTTGAAAATGCCTGTTTCAACTCCCCAGAACAAGCTGCCCCCTCCCAGATTAAACTCATCACTTCTAATCTCACCACCTTGCTGCTAATTCAAGCCTTGATTGACTCCACCTCCCTCAGCCTTCTCTCCACTTTGATCGCTGGAGGGTAAAGTACCAAACTCTTCCCAATACCTTCATAGAGGGCAGAAACTAGACTCAGCTCATGCTACTTTTCATCTGCTCCTCTGCCTGGTTTCAAATCCACGCAACAAAATACTCCCATGCCAGGTAACCCCTGGTGCTCCCCCTACTTTCCTGATTCCTTTTGTGTGTCGTTTCCTCCTTTTGATTGTAGACTCCTTGCAGGCAGGAACTGTCTTTCTTTGTATTCATTGTATCCCCAGCACTTAGCACAGCACCTGGCATGTGGTAGGTGATTGATGAATGTTTATTAAATTTTATTGGATTATTGAGTTGAGTGGAATGGCTGGATCTACACTTCAGGAAAGTTGCTTTGGCAAAAGGATGGAGAATGGGCAGGGAGAATAGGAAGGGAACAGGGGCTCAGGGCTTTGGGAAGGGCTCAGGGCTTTGGGAGGGGGCTCAGGGTTTGGGAGGGGCTCAGGGCTTTGGGAGGGGCTCAGGGCTTTGAGGAGTGGGGTTCAGGATTTGGGAGGGGCTCAGGGCTTTGGGGAGTGGGGCTCAGGGCTTTGGGAAGGGGCTCAGGGCTTTGGGGAGGGGCTCAGGGCTTTGGGGGGGCTCAGGGCTTTGGGGAGGGGCTCAGGGCTTTGGGAGGGGGTCAGGGCTTTGGGGAGGGGGGCTCAGGGTTTGGGAGGGGCTCAGGGTCTCAAGGCCTGTGTGGGGCTCAGAAATCTGAAGAAATGAGCTGAGGGTCTCTGGACCTGGAAAGCTTAGGCGTCTCCTGTTGTCAGGGGGAGGGGGCAGGGAAAAGGGATTCTATGTACTGAAGAAATGGGATCTGTATCTGACTGGATTCCCCCCACCTCCCTGAGAGGCCTGATTCCTCCCAGCCTGTGCCCTGATTCTGGATGTCCAGGGAGCTCTGCATATGCCAGAGGTGGGACTAGTCTTCTCTTAACTGTCTGTCCTCCTCTGATTCAAAACACCCTCTGTCCACACTTCTCCAGCTCCTTCAGAGGACCAACCCCTTATCAAGACCTTTCCAGCTGTCCCTGTAGTTGTGGGCGTTCCTTGCACTTCCTGTTGCATTGCTTGGCGTCAGTAAGTATCTGTCAGAAAGACATCTCTTCACCTCCCACCACCCCAAAGTCCACTTTTAGAACAGACTGACCCTATTCATGGTAGGTTGGTCTCCACCAGCCTATATGGTCCCCCAGTCTCTTTCCTGCCTCCCACTAATCCAGGAGTTTCCATGGATGGGTGGAGGAGACTCATCACTGCCCAGCTGTCCCTGATGACAGATCTCTAAGGCAGCAGCTCCAGATTAAGTACTAGCTGCAGGACCCCTCTTTCCCTACTGCTGGAGCTAGGGGTCACCTGCCTGTATCTTGTACTCTTGCTGTAGAGCAGGCATCTGAATTCTGTAACCACAAAGCTCCCTCAGACCCTCCAACAACTGCCAAGATTTCTGCAGTTTAGTGCTCCAGTCGTGGCTCCTGGGATTCCCCATTGGGTGAGCCAGGATGCCCCTTTCTGAAAGACCATCTCCTCCATAATGAATCCCATTAACTAAACAATCTATCCTTCACCACCGTGCCTGGGGTCCAAACGTGGTCCCTCTAGGGTGTGCTGAAAATGCTCCTTGAACTGTCCGAGGTGCTGGCCCATCACACTTTTTACCAAGAAAGACTCAGACATGCTGCATAATTCTTGGCAATTCTCATTGTTGGGAATTTACTCAACAAGTCCCAAATGATCCTTTTGCTTTGGGAAAGTTGGTTGCTTCAGGCAAAACATGGACCACCACCACATCTCCTCTATTCTCTTTGCCCCAAATTTTACACACACACACACATTGATATGCCCATGCCGTGCATGCGTGCTCCTAAACATGTCATAAACATTGTTGTTGTCAGCAAAGTCAAAGCTCCTGGTGTGTTTCAGGATCTGTACAAGCCCACCTGCTTTACAACCCTTGCGCAATAGAAAATAATCCTAATAATAATAATGATAATAATACCTAATCAAAATGGGGCCCCAAAGTTCAACAGTCTTAATAAATTAAATGCTTCCATGTTGCTTAGGTGCACACAGTAGTTGAAGATACAGAAAAACAGCCATTCTCGCCTGGAGAAGTCATACTGGTAAACCTTGCTATTCAATCACAGCCTAGGAGAGAAAAAACATATTTTAAAAAGTTTCCACAGATTCCTACAGTGTTACGGTACCAACAAAAAATATGATAGTAGTAACAGCTAGTATTTATGCAGCAATTCAAGATTACAGAGAGCTTAACAAATATTATTTCATTTGATCATCACAATAGGTGCTGTTATTAGCATTTTAGAGATGAGGAAACTGAAGCTAAGAGATTAATTGACTTACCTAGGGTCACACAGCTAATAAGTCAGGATTTAAACTCAGAACTTCCAGGATCAAAATCCAGCATTCCATTCACTGCACCACCTAGCTATCATGCAGTTAAATCATGACACTGCCTACAGCAGGAGTGGGGAACCTGCGACCTTAAGGCCACATGTGGCCTTCTAAATTCATAAGTGCAGCCTTTTGACTGAGTCCAAGCTTTACAGAACAAATCCTTTTGTTAAGGGGACTTATTCTGTGAAGTTGGGATTCAGTCAAAGGGCCACACTTGAGGACCTAGAGGGCCACATATTCCCTGCCCCTGGATAGGCCCTCATCACCTCACACCTGGATTAGTGCAGCAGCCTGCTGGTTGCTTTTCCTACTTCAAGCATCCTTCCTTCCGGTTCACCTTCCACTCAGCTGCCAAGGTGATCTTCCTAACGTGAAAGTTTAATGATATTACCCCCTGTTAAAGCAAATCTTAAACTCTCTCTGGCTTGTTTGTTTTTGTTTTTATTTTTAAGGCAATTGGGGTTAAGTGACTTGCCCAGGGTCACACAGCTAGTATGCATCTGGGCCAGATTTGAACTCGGGTGCTCCTGACTCCAGGGCCAGTGCTCTCTCCACTGCAGCGCCACCTAGCTGCCCTTCTCTTTGGCTTTTAAAGGGCTTCACAATCTCACCCATCTTTCCAGCCTTCTTACATTTTACATCTCTCTACCTACTCTATCATCCAGTGACACCCGGTGTCCTTGTTGTTTCTCAGACTTGACCCTACATCTCCCAACTACATGCCTTTGCCCTATGACAAATATTCTCCCTCCTCACCTCCACCTCCTTGTTCCCCTGAATTGCTTCAAGTCTCATTGCAAATCCCACCTCTAGGAAGAGGTCTTCCTCAGTTCCCCAACTGCTAGTGCCTTCCTTCCACTATCATCTCCAATTTACACTGTATGTATCTTGTTTGTATATAATTGCTTGCCTGCTGTTTTCCTCATTAGACAGTGAGGTTCTTGAAGGCAAGGCACTGTGTTTTCACCTTTTTTTGTATCCCCAGTGCTTAGCATGGTGCTTAACACAGAGTAGCTGCTTAATATATGTTTGTTGATGATGGTGGTGGTGGTGATTTGGGCGGTTGTACTGAACTGATTGCTTTTTCTTTTTTAAATTGTTTACCAGTAAGGGAATTCTGGGTGGGGGGAGGAGTAAATATATACTTGCAAATGAAAGTGATATAAAAGGAAAATATATGAAACACGTTTTTCTTAAAAGTAAAGAGTCTAGAAAAGCATCTTCCTTCCCCCCACTCTACTCTCAATGTAGTACTTCATGCATCTTCTCCCGGGTGGGGTTATGAAAAGCTACCACAAGTTAATAGCATTCCATGGGTCATCACCCAGTCAAAGCCATTGCTCGTGAGCCCCCACTGATGTGTTCTTCTTACCTGTCATCCTGGAGACAAAGATAAAAGTAAAAGACATTTACTTAAAGAGAATAACAAAGTGATAAGCCCCCTTCCTCACATACATACGAACACAAACACTTCATATCGATATAGTTGGAAACATGCATAGGACCTCTGCAGTGAAATAATTTCAAACTTGCACATAGCTCTGCCTTAACTGTTCAATCAAATCACTTACTATCCCTATGCCAATATGCCAATCATAGCCTAACACAGTGCACACAGACATTTCCTTTGTAGGGAAACCTGAAGGACCTGTTTTATGATGAAGAAATTTAAAGGCATGTGTAAACTTTATAAATGTAAAAAAGAATTGGGTTTCTCAGATATCTGTAGACTCAAAGTTACAGTCTCTTTCAGGGCTCCCAGATCTATCCTACCAAGAGTCTTGCTTCTAACGCAGACATGAGTAACTTGGTCTTCCCCATTTGCTCCCATTTATGTGGTCAGGTACATCCAATCACCTTCTTATTTGAACAGCTGTGTTGCATATCCTGTCACAAATCCCTTTCCTCCTCTTCCCCGGTTCCCAAGACTGTGCACCCTAAGGGGATGCTTAATATATCCTTGAGACTCCTCCCTGTTTCTGTCATGGTTTCCGACCTCCCTAAAAGACATTGATTTCCCATCTCTGGAAGAGATCTGGTGTATCCTCTTACAAATGGATAAGTGGGAATCAGAATGTCCACTTCTACCTGGGGAGTTTATTTCGGGTTTCTATGAAAGATTGTGCATCAGAGAATGGGAGAAGAGAGGTTGAGTCAAATTAAAAAGCCATTTTGTAGGTGACTTTAAAGTATTTGAACTCCTGATGGAGGCCCAAAGCCAGATTTGGGGGAGGAGAAATTTGGTAAAAATTGAAGAAAATTAGGAGGAAGAAAATCTCCAGGAGCTGCTATTAGTCCAGATGCTATTTCCAGGTTGGAAGAAACAGAATTCAGGATAACTGAGAAGAATATGCAATAATAAAAGCTATTGTGGAGTTGTGAACTGATCCAATCATTTTGGAGAGCAATTTAGAACTATGCCCAAAGGACTACAAAAATGTACATACCCTTTGACCCAGCAATAGCACTTCTAGGGCTATATCCCAAAAAAGATCATAAAAATGGGAAAAGGACCCACATGTACAAAAATATTTATAGCAGCTCTTTTTGTGATGGCAAAGAATTGGAAATTGAGGGGATGCCCACCCACTGGGGAATGGCTGAACAAGTCATGGTATATGAATATAATGGAATACTATTGTGCTATAAGAAATGATAAGCAAGTTGACTTCAGAAAAACCTGGAAAGACTTGTATGGACTGATGCTGAGTGAAGTGAGCAGAACCAGGAGAATGCATTTAGGGTTAGGGTAGTTAACAGCCACGTTGTTTGATGACTAACTTTGATAGACTTAGCCCTTCTCAGCAATGCAAGGATCTAAGACACCTCCAAAAGTCTCATGATGGAAAATGCTATCCACATCCAGAGAAAGAACTATGGAGTTTGATTGCAGATCAAAGCATACTATTTGTTCTTTATTTTTCTTGTTTGTTTTTTTTTTATATTCTTTTATTCTTTCCTGTCCTTTCTGGTTTTTGTTTTTGGTTTCCTCTTTCTTGTGGTTCCTTCTATTGGTTTTAATTCTTCCTTACTAAATGACTAATGTGAAAATGTTTAATAGGTATGTATATGTACAGCCTATTTCGGATTGCATGCCATCTTGTGGAGGAAGGTGAGAAGGGAAGGGGAGAAAAATTTAAAACTCAAAAGCTTATGGAAATGATTGTTGATAAATCGAAATAAATCAATTCTAAAAATCTATTAAAAAGGGGGGGAACACTAGGGAGTAATAATACCCACTATTTATATAGCACCTGAAGTTTTCAAAGCTCTTTCCACACTATTATCTCTTCTGACCCTCTCAGTTAGTTGGTTAGTTGTCCTTCATTCTTGAAGAGGACCAAAATGACATCACTATATTGGGGTCAAAGTACAGTGTGTACAACTATGGCTCATCAGACCAATATGAGCTCAGAAGGCTGTACTACAGGTTGGGCACAAATAGTCCATGTGAACATTTGGGGTGGATTCTCTAAATTTGTGCATCTCACATTTCTTTCGAGATACTGCAATTCTGCTTTGCTCATAAAGCACAGAACCTTCTTTGATATGGGCACACCATGCTGGACAGTCCTGTGCCGTGTCTCCCATGTCACACAATCGATTCCAAAGTTCTTTAGACAGACCTTGAAAGTGTTCTTGTATCGCTTCTTCTGACCTCCATGTGAGTACCTGCCTTAAGTGAGTTCTCAATAAAACAGTCTTTTAGGCAAACATACATTTGGCATTCAAACAATATGGTCAGTTCATTGGAGTTGCACTCTCTGTAGTAGTTTGAATGTTTAGCAGTTCAGCTCAAGAAAGGACATCAGTGTCTGGTATCTTATCCTGCCAGGTGATCTTCAGAATCTTCCTATGACACATCAAATGGAAATGATTTAGTTTCGTGACATGGTGCTAGTAGACTATCCAGGTTTCACAGGCATACAACAATGAGGTCAGCACAACAGCTCTGTAGACTTTTCATTTTGGTAGGCAGTTTAATAACTCTTCTTTCCCACACTTTCCTTCAGAGCCTCTCAAACAATGAGCTGGTTGTGGCAATTCATGCATCTATGTGTACACCCCTGGAAAGTATACTTTGCCAAGGTAAGATTCAGAATCTCTCCATTTGATGGTTCCACGTATGGATACAGTGGTACTGGCTGGTGGAGAACTTCTGTTTTCTTGGTGTTAGTTATTAAGACAGAATAAGCACAAGCAGGAGAGAATTTATCTATACTTTGTTGCATCTCAGCCTCAGAGGCGGCATTGAATGCTCAATCATTTATGAACAAAAAGTTACACACCAATTCTCCCTCTACTTCAGTCTTGGCTTGTAGTCTTTTCAAGTTAAATAATTTGCTGGCAGTGCAGTAGCTGGTCATTATGCCATTTTCCTCATCACTGAAGGCACCTGACTAACCTTAAACTTGTGCTGAAAACATCCTGCTAAAAAGCATGGGAACAAACACACAGCCCTGATTCACTTCATTGGTTATTGGGAAATTTCAAGAGCACCATCCGTTATCCAGAACCCAGGCAAGCACCCCACCATGAAACTGATAGACAATACTGATGAACTTCTCTGGACAACCTCATTTTGCCATGATTTTCCACAAGTCCTCATGACTGACTGTATCAAAGGCCTTGGTCAAATCTACAAATGTTATTTACAGACCTCTGTTCTGCTCCTGACATTTCTCCTAGAGTTGTTGGGCAGCAAACGCTATATTAACCATTCCTCAGTCCTTTCTGAAGCCACACTGGCTCTCAAGTAGATGACCATCTTCCAGGTGAAGTATCAGCCTATTAAGGAGGACTCCGGCAAGAACCTTGCCAGGAATGACTAAAAGACTCCCCCTCCCCCTGTGATTGTCACAGGACAAACTACTTCCCTTTCCTTGAGAGAGACAGACAATGGAGGCATCCTTGAACTCCTGGGGGATAACCGCCTCTTGCCATATAACCCAGAAAATTTCACTCAGCTTTTTAGAAGCGGGTCCCCTGCCTTATAAATCTCAGCTGGAATAGAATCAGCACCAGGTGCTTTGCCACATGAGAGGAGCTTAATGGCATTCAAAATCTCTTCTTCAGTTGGAAGTTCAGCTAGAGAGGGCTTGACCTCAACCTGAGGTATGTAGTCAATGACCTCAGCGTTGATTGATGATGGTCTGTTGACAACACTATGGAAGTGTTCAGCCCATCTCTCCAGGGTCATATCCTTATCATTAGTCAATGTGACTCCACCAGCACTGAGTGGTTGAGACGCACCATAGGTCTTTGGCCCATAAACAGCCTTCAGGGCATCATAAAAGTCCTTTGGATTGTTACTATCAGCATAAAACAGAATTTCATCTGCCTTCTTACTGACCCAAGAATCCTACATCTCTCTCTAAGTTTTGTTTGTACTTTAATTTTGATGGAATTACATGTTGCCTTCTCGGAGATGGATGAACAATCCTGCTGGTAAACCTTGTGGAGTTCTCATTTAGCAGTTTCTGAAATTCCCCATCATTTTCATCAAATCAGTCTCAATGTTTACGAGTGTTCTGACTCAGATGAGCAAATGCAGTGCTATACACCAAATCTCTGAAAGTTGCCTACTCCTTTTCTGCTCCACTATTGCCAACTGTTCCCCATCTGAGAAGCACTATAATCTATTGACATCAGGTTTTCTGGTAGTCATCTTGCCTTGAGGCCACTGCTTTTGTTAAATGCAAATGCTTAGCTTGGAGAAGATAAGTCTATGATCAGTCCAGCACTCTGTGCCACACACTCTCACACTTCATCACTCTCACAGTCTCTTCTTTTTTTCTGTCTCTTCTTTTTACAATGACATAATTTATTAAATACTGATGTTTGCTATAAGGGTGAATTCATGAAGTTTTATTGCTTTTAAGTAAATGGAAGACAGTGTTGATGATGAGGTCATGAGATGCACAAGTCTTCAGTAATAAGTGACCATTGCTGTTGCTGTTTCCAGCTCCAGGACTTCCTGCCATCTCTGATAGTCTGTGCCTCTTCTGGCCTTCTCTGATCTCATCAGGGTTTGTCATAGTGGGGGCATGGTGCCTGCAAGTGACAATTACATTGTCATAAGCCTGTCATTCACTCCTTTTGGGAGGTACACAAGCTTAATGACTAAATTAATTTTGATTGTAAAACTTATGCCAGCTTTCACAGAGCTCCCCACCACTTCAGCCACTCCAGAAAAAAATGTGTATCCAGTTCCAGCTTCAGTAAGCTGGCCTTCATTTGCCAGTTTTGCTTCACTCAGGGCTGCCATTTGGATGCAACACATGCTGAGTCCTCTCAGTCCTGTTCATCTTTTGGGTCTACTGGATTTTTGTAAGTGCGCACAATTCCATGCACCAATGGTGAGTAAAATCATCTTCACAAAAGTTTTTGTACATTTTTTTTGTTTCAACCATAGGGTAGAAGCCCTGTCTACCATAGTAAGCAGGACAGAGTTGGGTGAAACAATTTTTAGGGAACCTTTTCTAGCCCCTTCCCTCACAACAAGAAGTGAGCAGTGTGGTCCTTATAAAAAAGGCTGCTCAGATAACCACGAGGCTGCTGAATCCCACTACTGTTTCAGTCCAGTGAGATGACCCTATGGCCTGGGCCACCTCTGTGTGGGGTTGTGACTACAGCTTGTAGAGTATTTACACCTGCCACTTTGTCACTTGCCTGTGGCCACAGGACTTCGGTGTAGATAAAAAATGGTAAAATGGTCTAGGTGATGTCTTTTGACTGTAGCATAAACTGGATTAAGAGAGGCAGAGTTCCTCACTTCCAGAGTCATTGGTGTCCAATGGCAAGGCAAAAGTCAAGATGACTGGTGATGGCTCGAGATGTGGTGGATGATCTTGGCATCTTCAATGTCTAACTAAGCTCTAATCACTCCACAGCACCTGCTTCAGCCTTCTTCATGGCCATTGGAACAAATTATTTTCATGTGACTATTCTGCCGGGGGGGGGGGGGGGGGGGGGGGGGGGGGGGGGGGGGGGGGGAATCTTCACATGCTTGGGATTGTTAACATGGGTTCTGTAATGACTATACTATATGTCAGACCTTCCCTTCTTCACAGAGGAGCAGTACAATGGAGTTACACAACAACCAGCCAATTCGAAGGGTTTCTGAGGCTCAGAGCTGCTTGACATACCAATGATCTTTTGCAAGAGAACTCTAGATGAATTTGGACATGCCTGTATCTGCCAGAAACCACAGAACCAGCCTTGACCAGCTCAAGGGTAACCTTGAAGCGAAGCTGCAGACTCAAGACCTTGCTCAGGACTTTCTAAACATCCTGGTACCTGACTTATTGTGATTATAAATGTCTTCTCCCTTAACCCCTGCTCTCCATCCAAAAGCCCCTAGAAACTATATTTTCTCATCCTTTTTCCACTCCTCTTTGAGCAGCTGAGAACTCTCTCGCTCTCTCTGCTCCTGTGTAGATCTTCTATTGCCTGCAAACTTTTCTCACACAATAAACACTTTGTAATCTGTGATCAGACTCTCTCATTTCAGGTCCCTTTGTGGGTCTGAGGGTCTTTTGTTAACAGGGTAGAATCTGTGCATACCCTCTGACCGGGCGATACTACTATGAGCTCTATATACCAAGGAAATCAAAGGAAAAGAAACATGACAAAAATATCTATAGCAGATTTTTTTTTTTTGGTGGAGGCAAAGAACTGGAAATTAAAAGATGCCCATCAATTGGGGAATGGCTGAATAAAGGTGATGGAATACTATTGTGCTGTAAGAAATGATGAAGGGGATGATTTCAGAAAAACCCAGGAAGATTTATATGAACCAATGCAAAATGAAATGAATAGAACCAGGAGAACTAGCTACATGTTGTTTTTGTTGTTGTTCAGTCACTTCAGTTGCGTCTGACTCTTCATGACCCCATTTGGGGTTTTCTTGGCAAAGATACTGGAGTGGTTTATCATTTCCTTCTCCAGCTCATTTTACAGATGAAGAACTGAGGAAAACAGGGCTAAGTGCCCAGGGTTACACAGTAAGTGTCTGATGTCAGATCTGAACTCAGAAAGAGGAGTCTTCCTGATTCTAAGTACAGTGCTCTATCCACTTCACCACCTGGCTGCCCATTATAAAGATAAACAACTTCGAAAGATTTAGTAACTCTGATTAATACAATGACCCACCACAATTCCAAAGGACCCATGATGAAAGATGTTATCCACCTGCAGAGAGAAAACTGGTAGACTCCAACAGATAGCAGGTCCAGTCAACATGGGTTTGTGATTTTCTCCAGTTTTGTTCAGCAGCATGTGAACAGGAACAAAGGCAAGTCCAGCACTCTATCTACTGTGCCAACTACTGCCTCCAGAGTAGACCCTGAAGAGGTAGACTGAGGGACAAATAAAAGATAGCAAGAAAAGGAGATAAGTAAGAAATGGCAAGTCAAACAATTAGAGGGTTAAAAGGAAATTGGTGAGTGGATTGAGGGATAGAGCAAATTGGCAAAATTCAATTTAATAAACATTTATTAATCATCTACTATGTGCCAGACACTGTGCTAAGCACTGGGGATACAACTACAAAAAAAAACATTCCTGCCCTCAAGGAGCATATAATCTAACTGAGGAAGATAATACATAAAAAGAAGCTGAAAAGGGCTGGGGTGTCAACAGAGGATGCCAGGAACAGGGACATGATTTTCCCTGGAGTTGAAACCAAGGAGAGCCACTGATGGAAAATGGAGAGAAACAGACCAGAAGTTGTTGATGCAAGACTGAAGGGGATGTGATCATGGTTGTGGGCTTGTTGAGACAAAAGTAAGAAATTGGGGTGAGATTATCATTACTGAGCAGTGAAAGGTGGTATTTTATCTGGATGCTTGGAGCTGAAATGGAAACACTAAGGAGTTGTGCAAATAAGACTGATCATCTCAACCATTATGGAACTTAGGGGAAATTGTGCAGTGACTCACTTGAGTATGCAATTTCTGTAGTTCTGCCATTGCTCAGTGACTACTACCTGTGTATCAAATGGAGACTGCTCTCCCTTCTAAAGGCAAAGGAGCTCAAAACACACCTCTCCCCACTTCAGGTTGTAAGGGAGAATGAAGTGTTTCTAAAGGAAATAGAAGCAGGGTTTCAAAGAGATAAAAAGGGAAATGATGTGAAGGGGAGATGGCTCTTGTTGGAAGTGTCACATTGAGGAAATGAAGGGGATTAGGACAGCCTAGTTAAGCAGGAATTAGGTGAACCACTTTACCTTGTGACTCAATTCTGGAGCTAGCTCAGTTCCCTTTCTATTCAATTATGAGTTTAATCCAACTTCTAGCATGTGGGAAAACTTTGTTCAGTTATGGAAATTGGGAGAAAATCTTACTGCATTTTTTGAACCTAGCTCTGTGTGGCCAGGAAACTGGCCTCTACCTGCTGCTTACAGACCCTTAACTAATTACCTAAGTTATGCTGACCAGAAACCTTGTCAGAGCTAAAGACTGATGCGGTTTTCTCACAACCTTCTATCTCAAGCAACCTCTATGTTTTATCTGAAAACTGGCCCTGTACTGATCAGTTATTGTTTCCATGTTCCTTTGATTGGAGGCTGGGGAGGGGAGAGATATTTGGGGGGGGGGGGAACACCTCTTTTTCTAAATTTAAGGAATTGTACCTGTTTACTCTCCCCCTCCCAGGTTGGAAAGTCTCCAATCTTTCATCCAGTTAGAAATCAGATTACCTAATATTGTATTGTTTCCTTTTAATTAATTGGTCTTATTTGTCTTTAATGTATAAAAGTCTCTCTCCCCCTGTACTCAGGGTTCAGCCCTAAGCTGAGGAAGGGGCCTGATCCTGGTGTGTTGGGCAATTAGCATGCATTGCTTAATAAACTGACATGCCCTGAAGATGAAACCTTTGTTTCCTCAGTCATTTCGTTTTCCACCCACCACAACACACAAGCAGAAAGGAAAGAAGGAGTCAATTGTACAAACAGATTTGAGGCTCTTCCTGAACCAGAGATAGGAAGAGAAGCCCTCACTGCCCTAACCCACAACCACCACTCAAGGAAGCAACTCCTGAGGAGAAAGGACCAGCCATCCCCATCAGCTGCCCCCAAAGGGTAGGCAAGTCAGCCCAGGTGAAGCAGCGTAAGTCAGACCGTCACCACCTCCTTAACCACTATCTCCCCACAGACCCTGCTGGAGACAGCCCAGGATCCTGAACCTAAGAGCCTTCAAACCACCATATCTGCTTCACCCCAGCCCCAGCTTGTCATCATTGTGGAAAGGATCTCTAACGCTGCCTCACCACCAACACCAAAAATTGCTGACCAACTGCCACTGAGAGTCAGATGAGTGCAGAAGCCCTGGGTGTGGCAACCCCCCCCTACCCCTGCCCAGACCAATGGTCCTGTTTCCAGCCCAGGGCCCACAGCCTGGGGACGGCTCCTGCAGGTGCTGCTGCCACAGCAACTGAAGCCCTAGAAAGGAAAGTCCTTGGCACAGCGGTCAAAATGGCTCAACCTGAGAAACTGATGGGACCTCAGCACAGATTACGTGAAAGAGGCAGGCCCACCTGCTTTGCCGCCATTCCCCAAGGACCACAGGACCTTTCCCTCAGACATACAACTGAAACCTTCCCCCATTGGAATGTGAGTTCCTTATAGCTCTGTTTGCACCCTGAGGGTTAGCACAGGGCTCTGCACGTCATAAGTGCTTAGTATTTTTTTTATTCAAAGAAGAAAATAATTCAGGAAAATAATCACAACCTAGTGCCAACACACCTGCTTCTGAGCATTCTACAGATCAGGATAAGACCAAGACCCTCCCAAATCAAATCTACATCTTTTATACTTATTAACTTCAATTAAAATCGAAGTGGCATTTGAAGATAATGACAAATAATCTACTGCAAAGTACGAATCAGGAATGAGGGCGCAAGAAGCCACAGTGAAACAGTTCACCAAACTATTGGACTTTTTTTTGAGAAAAGAATCAGATGCTAGAAATGACAAGCACTAAATACCATTAACACACCAAAAAATAAAACAAAACAAAACAAGAAAAACTAAAGCATGATTTTGACAGCAAAGTTCTCTTTAACGATGGGCATCCATCCCAGACCATCTGTTTCTGTACAGTACACCATCTCGTTAGAGCAAGCCTCCAAGTTAGTGTAGAGCTTGGAGAAAAGGATGGGGTTCCATGAAAATGTGGGATCTAACCTGCGAACCCCAAGAGCTGGCTGAACCTGGGGCAAGTGGGAAGCCACCTGTGAGTATAACGTTGGGCTAACCCCAGAGGGACGCTCTACTCATCTCTGCCACCACTGAGAGGCTCTTCTATCATTCCAAGTTCAGTCTACCCCGCTTGCCCGAGAAGAGGAAGAACTCAAGGATGCCTCTCCACACTCCAGATTTCTTATGATGAAGTATTCCTAAAGGAAACAGAATTCAGGTGGTTTTGATGGGAAAAAGGGATCTGAGAAGGGGAGATGACCTTGGTCTCAACAACTCACCCCCAACTTCCCCACCTTGCCTCCACACAAGGACTTTCCACCCTTTTGTAGAAGGGTGGTCTCCCTCCATTAGAATGTAATCCCTCGAGGGCAGGGTTTAGCACAGTGCCTGGCACACAACAAATGCCCATTGACTTAAAGATTGGAAAGCAGAAGAGGGAGGGAAAGGGAAAAGACAATTCTACACTTGAGGATCAGAGAACTCTTTGGGGTCAGCCTGGGGGACTGAGGACCCGAACTCCTGCCCACCAGGAATGAGCCTTTCACTGGGACAGTGGCTGAGCCTCTGAGGCAAGAAACAGGGTGTGTGGACACAGGGGCCTCTCACAAGAGCAGCCAACATCTCAGGGGAGCTCAGAGTGGGGAAATCAATTCAATAAGCACGCGTGAAGCATCTGTCATGTGCCAGGCACTGTGCTGGACACTAGGGTTACAAAGACAAAAATTGACAGTCCTTGCCCTCCAAAAGCTTACATTCTCCTGGGAAGAACAATATGCACTCAGGTAAATAAATAGGGGAGCTGGGTGGCGCCATAGTGAACAGAGCACCACGCCTGGAGTCAGGAAGACTCATCTCCCCAAGTCCAAATCTGGCCTCGGACACTTACTAGCTGTGCGACCCTGGCCCTGTTTGCCTCAGTTTCCTCATCTGTCAAATGAGGTGGAGAAAGAAATGGCAAATTACTCCAGTATCTCTGCCAAGAAAACCCCAAATGGGGTCACAAGGAGTTGGACACAACTGAAAATTAACTAAATAACAAAATTAATGCAACATGTATGTGGGGAGAGAAAGAGAGAGAGAACAATGGAGCAGAGGGTAGAGAGGCAGTGACAATGGCTGAGGATGGAACCAGGGACTCCAAGACACAGAAGGGAGGAGGGAGAGCAGATGGCATGGAGCAGTCTCTGGGAAGTGGTGGAGGAGCAGGCTGGTTACGGCAAGATCAAATCTGTCCAGGAATATCTGGTAGCTGATGATGCGGGAGGGGATACATCCACTGGGGAGTAACCTGCAGACAGACAATAAATGAATCTGTGGTGAGTACAGAGGTAAAAACAGGGCCAGGATGGAAAGGGGCCCCTCCCAGGGACGCCCTGTGGAGACCACGTTTCCTTCATCAAACCTCTTCTGTTCCTCCTACACCTTCACGAGTGAGGGAAAGAACAAAGCTAGGAAAGGCAGAGGCAGGGACTGGGGGACAGCAAACGTCGTGAGTCTGAAGAGGAGAGAGGAGAGAGAACGAAGGAGGAGGGATTAGCGTCGCAGGAGAGGAGGACAGTGCTCCAAGGACCAGTGGATCTGGGTTCTGCTCAAGGTGGGCCTTCCATCCCATGTCCTGTGCAAGTCAGACACACGGGATGGCCAGTGGGCCAGAGCCTTCTTGGGGCTCTCTGCACCTAAGGCCATTACCAACAAAATCGGCAGGCTTCTCACAGGGCAGCCCTCCGTTTTGCTCAGTGAAAGAAAAGTCACTGCACTTGTTAATTAACAGGTCCCTGGTGACTTTCAAATGGTTCCATGGAGTGGCTGGGACAAACCAGACTGTGGTGTTGAGAACATGGCAGGTGGTGAGGAACTGGAGGCCCTGAGGGAGGCCAGCCCTGGAGAAACTAGAGTTAGGGTTAGGCTTAGGTGTAGCTCTTGGGAGGGAGCCAGCGGAGAGATGCTGCCAACGGGCTGCATGAACGTGGGTGAAAAATCAGAACTTTGCCAGAATTAGGGCAACTAAACACATGAGGCTCTCTGACTCAGCGATGGCCCCTCGTCCCCCCAGGAAGGACGCTTTGCAACATCCAGCTCTGTGGTCAGAAAAGCCCGGATGCTGACCGGAGGCTCTGGATGCACGTGAATGTGGCGGGTCACAACAAACACAAGAGATGGGCTCTGCCACCACGATGAAGGGAAGGGGATGGACCAGAGAGGCGCTATCAGGCAGGGTGGATGGACCAGTGCGCTCTGCCCCCAGCTGCTTGCCTTCTCCCAGGGAAGGGGGAAGGGAAGGGAAAAACAGGTCTTGAGTTCTTCTCAAAGGAAAAAACCATGAGAGGCGACAAGGTCTGTTCTCAGACCCTGGAGCAGGAAGGCCTCGTGGGTGCAGGGAAAACACTGGGCCTGAGGAAGTACGCAACATGGACAAAGCGAGAGCAGGCAAACCCTTCTACATCCCAATGTCTACACTGAACCAGGTTCAAGGAAGGAAAAAAACCTGAGGGTGGGTGAGGCTGGGAAAGACAGTGAGCAGGGACCTGCCTGCCCATAGGACTTCCTTTCCACGTGAATTCCCTAATTCACAGTCCAGGGAGGGACCTGTCTACAATCTGACCCATATTCGTCCTACTCATCAGACTCGAACTGCTTAAGATTTCTCTCTGGTATGAACTGTCTGATGTCGGACAAGTTCAGCCCTCAGATGGAAGGCCTCCCCACAGTCGTGACATTCATGAGTTTTCTCCCCACTATGAATCCTGCAATGGGAAGCAAGGGATGAGTTGCGGCTGAAGGCCTTCCCACATTTACTGCATTTGTGAGGTTTCTCCCCAGTATGAATTCTTTGATGGCGAGCAAAGTGTGAACTCAGGCGGAAGGCCTTCCCACACTCCTTACATTCGTAAGGCCTCCCCCCAGTGTGAATCCTCTGGTGGGAGGTAAGTTCCGACTTATGGGAGAAGGCCTTTGAACATTCCTTACATTCATAGGGTTTCTCCCCAGTGTGAATTCTCTGGTGATAAATTAATTCAGTTCTCCGGCCAAAAGCCTTCCCACATTCAACACATTTATGTGGTTTCTCTCCAGTATGAATCCTATAATGGGAAGTAAGAGATGAGCTGCGGGTAAAGGCCTTCCCACAGTCTTTACACCCAAAAGGTTTCTCCCCAGTATGAATTCTCTGATGACAAATTAATTGTGTTCTCTGACCAAAGGCCTTCTCACATTCATTACATTTATAAGGTTTCCCCCCAAGATGAATCCAGTAATGAGAAGTAAGTTCTGATCTATGGGAGAAAGACTTCTCACATTCACTACACTCGTAAGGTTTTTCTCCAGTGTGAATCCTCTGGTGATAAATGAGTCCTGTTCTCCTGCCAAAGGTCTTCCCACATTCTTTACATTCAAATGGTTTCTCTCCAGTATGAATCCTATAGTGGGAAATGAGGGAAGGATTGCGGGTGAAGGCCTTTCCACATTCATTACATTCATAGCGTTTCTCTCCAGTATGAATTGACTGGTGTCGGGTGAGTTCTGCCCTCAGGCAGAAGGTCTTCCTACACTCATTACACTCATAAGGTTTCTCTCCAGTGTGAACTGTCTGGTGGCGGGCGAGTTCTGCCCTCAGGCGAAAGCCCTTCCCACACTCATTACACTTATAGGGTTTCTCTCCAGTGTGAAGCCTGTGATGAGAAATGAGGGAGGAGCTTCGGTTGAAGGCCTTCCCACACTCATGGCATTCATAAGGTTTCTCTCCAGTGTGAATTCTATGATGGGAAATAAGGGAGGAACTTCGAGTGAAGGCCTTGCCACACTCATCACACCGATACGGCTTCTCACCGGTATGAATACTCTGGTGTCGGGTAAGCCGCGTCCTCTGGAGGAAAGCCTTCCCACACTCCTTGCATTCATAAGGCTTCTCCCCAGTATGAGCCCTGTGGTGGGAGGTAAGTTGTGACCTATGGGAGAAGGCCTTCCCACAATCTTTGCATTCGTACGGTTTCTCTCCAGTGTGAATTCTGTAATGGGAAGTCAGGGAGGAGCTGCGGTTGAAAATCTTTCCACATTGACTGCACTGATGATGTTTCTCTCCAGGGTGAACAGACAGATGAGAAGCAAAGGATGAGTTGAAACCCATTCTGCATTCATCATAGTTGAAAAAGATTTTCTTGGAGCAGATTCTGCTCCATTCATTCAGATCCGGACACTGCCTGAAGCTCCTTCTGGGAGCCTCAGAGCTGCAGACACTCCATCCGACAAGTCCTTGGCCTCGCCCTGGGCTTCCGCTTCCGCCAGCAGCCCTGACCGCCTCCTCCGCCTCTTCCTCTCTCTGCTCCCTCTCCAGGCCAGCATCCCTGGGGTCCCAGGCTCCCCTCAAACGGAGAACAGAGGGATCCGTCCTTGTGAGTCTCTCTTGGGACCACCGTGCCACTGGAGCGCCCAGCTTCAGACCAGACTCCTCGGCTTCCAGTCTAGTCTCCCAATCTGAAAGACAGAAAAGCGTGAATCTCCCTCGTGCTCACTAGGGATGGACACGCATAGTCCTGTCTTCTCTCTCCTTCCATCCACAAAAATGAACGTCGCACTTTAACGTGCAGAACAAGCAAGAGCCTAGCTATTTGTGGTGCATAAACTCATCCTCACAATGACTTCTTAAATAGGGAGGTCAGTTATCACATTTCCAGAGAAGACTGAGTGACTCAGCTGGCCCAGTGCACCTCCCCATAATGCGAGTAACCCAGGCTGTTACCCTGAATGAACCCCACGTGGCTGTGAAATTTCAACAGAAATCGGATGGCCATTATCAAAGATGATTAGAGGGGCCTCCTGCATCATCCGGCAGAATCTGCTCATTCTGCATCGATCGCATACACTTGGGCAGCCAGGTGTAGACACTAAAGTGTCAGCACTCAGGACTTGAAGTGCTTCCTCAAGACAAGTCATTTGTCACCCTCTCTCAGACTCAGTTTCTCTAAAATAGAGATGATAGCCACCTCCCCCCCCCGCCCCCATCCACCCCTACCCCCGCCCCAAGGAGGATCAAAGACAATGAGCTGACAGATGGAAAACGCTTTCAAACCTTTGGCTAGCTATCAGGATTCTCTTGTGTGGATTTATCTATGCACATGCAGTCCCAAGCTTTTCAAGAGCAGGGGCTACACGGCCCTTGTGTCCCTGTATTCCAGGTGCTAAATGCTTCCTAATTGCATGATTGGGTGAGGATTTGGGAAGGAAAGAAGATAAAAAGGAAGGACAAAGGAATGAACGTTTATAAGGCACCTCCTGTGCGCCAGGCAGGCACCATGCTAAGTGTTTTATGAATATGATCTCACTGTATCCTCACCACAACCCTGAGAGGGAGGTTAGGGTCATTTTACAATTGAAGAGACTGAGGCAGAGAGAGGAGAAGGGACTTGCCCTGGGTCACACAGCTAGGGAGTGTCTGAAGCTGGATTTGAACTCAAGTCCTCCTGACTCCAGGCCTGGTGCTCTGTGCCCTGTGGCGCCCTCTAGCTGCCCCTAGAAAGGTCACCAAAGGAAAAAACTAGAACCATGATGGGGGAGAGAGGCCCCCTTACCCTTGGTGCCTCTTTCTTCCAAGGCCCTCAAATCCCCATCCCCCACCTATTGGCTGGCCCACCACAATACTCCACAGTCTTGTGCTCAGACCACTTGCCCCAGGGTGGTGTTCACAGCTACGCTTCTTCCATGGAGATGCCCCCACTCTCACTAACCCTTCCCACTCATTCAGACAGAGGTAGATTCTTGTGTCTACACCTTTCCTTCATAATTTCATCCTAATTACAACCCTAATTCTGAGCTGAGAACACATCTGAAGGGTCTAGGAAAAGTCTACAGAGGGAGACAGCAACCAGTTCACACATCCTGGAAGAATTCTTGGCCAGGGGACTCCTAGGGAAAGCCCCAGAGGCTGCCTGTCAAAAGCCAAACAAATAATGATGAAGAGACCCAGTGAAAAACTAGTCCAGGGGACTTCTTATTCCACCCCTGGAGCTCCTGGGTAATAGGAAAAGAGGCCTCCAGCAAAGCTGGTCCCAGAACAGGCAGGAAAGCCAGCCCAGGACATGGTGCTGTCTCCAGAGGCAGAGCAAGCTGAGGGCTCCCCAGAGAACGTCCCACAGTCGGGAACCAAGAGCAGGGTGCCAACCTGGAAAAGAGGTCAAGGAGACACAATCTGGGGAACGTGAACTCTGTTTCAAGAAATTATAAGTGAAAACTGCACAGGGCAAAGTGAAGCTAGAAGGAGTTCTTCTAAACTCCTCAACTCCTCAACTCCAAAAACAAATAAATAAAGCCACAGTGTGGATCACACAAGACCTGGCAGCTACGACCAAGACATAGAGGAGATCACAGGGTGCAAATTATCAAGAGGCAAAAGCGATGGGGCTAGAACCAAGAATCACTTACCCCACCAAGACAAGACTCAAAAAACTGACATTTCATGGAATAGAGGGCATCCACACACTTCTGACAAAAAGACCAGGGCAGAGTAGGAACTTTGAAATACAAACACAAGAGCCCAGAGAAACCTGGCAAGGTACATGAATTTGAGCAAACAGAAGGGCCTGCATGATGACGTAGGGCTAACATTCTAATGGGGGTAGGAAACTAAGGTCCCTTTGGGACCTTAATGTCTTCAAAGGATAGTGAAGGAGGTCAATTAAAAATCAAATAAACTAGGGATCCTGGGATGGGGTGGGTCTGTTCTGAAGGTTTAAAGGGAGGAAATCAAAGGAGCCTACAAGGAGGAGGAGGAGGAGGAGAAAGAGCAGAAGGAAGAGGAGGAGGAGGAGGAAGGAGGTTGTACTGGCTACTTCTCCTAATTGGTTTGCGTGAAAAGAAGAGTGCACAAATATGGAGGGAGGGCTGGGAGGGCTGGGCATCAGATGAAGCTCATTCTTACCTGAAACAGCCAAAGTGAGTTGGAAACACATGTGAGCGCATACACACAAAGTTTGGTGCAGAAATGCAACAATTTCAAAAGGGAAGTCAAGGGGGGGAGGCCGCCACAGCAGGATGAGAGGCTGGATAATGCCAGGGATGGAATAATCACAGACAAAACAAACTTCCTGATCTCGAGGAGCTGAAAAGCACTGAGTAAGCCCTACCGTGTGGGACAAGCACTGTGCTTTGTGCCAGAGACGTCCCAGCCTTTCTCTGACTACAAGCAGGCAAGTGGGGAAGGGACACTAGACTTTCTGTCACCACACTGGCTTTCCAATGTCAGATCTCTTTCCAAATATGTATTTGCAGGAGTTTGCTAATATTTGGGATGGCTTGGAGCCTTCCTTGTAAAAAGCAGAAATTGTTACAGAGTCTACAGGAATGTAAGCAAATTTAGCTCCACCACCTGAGCCCTAAACATGGCCCCACACATCCCAGGGCCAAGGGGTCATCGCACCAAGATGCCAAGTCCCTCAGAGTACCACAGGGACAAAGCCAAGGCATCCTGCCTGGGCCCGCTTCAGGCCCAGAGGTAGCCAGGCCTGGCCTCAGACAACTAGCTGCGCTGCTTCCCCTCTGCCTGCCTCAGTTTCCCCAACTGTAAAATGGAGGTCATAAAACAGCCCTTCCCTCAAAGGAAGGATCCAATTGTGAGGATCCAATGAGATCATCTTGGTAAAGTGGCTGGCACACACAGGCACCTCCCAGCTGGGTGCCTGTGGACAAGTCATGTCACCTCCATCTGTCTCAGTGTCCTCATAATGGGGATAATCGGACACCCCTTCTTGACATGGTCAGTCCATCTCCTTGTCCTCCTGGGATGCCCAGAGCTCACTCCTTCCTGCCATCTCTATTTAGAGACCCCACCAGGTGCTCCCCTGCACTCTTCCCTGTGCCTCTGACCCTCCTCCATAGCTCTCAGGCCCAACTCTGACCTCGACCACCAGTGGCCCCCTAAGGCTCTCCCTCCTTCACCCAGTAGCCAAAGGGACCCTTAAGGACAGGTCTGACTCATTCAACTCCAACCCAAAAGCCTTCTACAACCTGGCCCCAGCTGGTCTTTCTGGACTGGTCGTTACTGGCCCTTCTGCCCTCTTGACCAGCCGGACTGGCCCCCTGGTCTTACACACACAGATGCGCACATGCATGCACGTACACACAGAGTCCCCTCTCCCTTTAGCAGGAGGTTCAGGTGCCATCTTTTGCGTTTATTTACTACCTTTTGTCTCCTTTGTGTACTTAGTAAACAATATCAATAATGAATACTCTGGGCTCACTCACTTTACACCCATACTGTATACATTTTTATACATCCCGCTCATCTCCCTCCATCCGGATGGATGCCTAGGTCCTTGTCTCATTTTATCCTCTGCACCCAGCATGGTGCCTGGCATACAGTGGGTGCTTAATAAATGTTTGTTAATTGCTTGAAGACTCCTTTATTCTGGTAAGAACCAGAGAGAAAGCCCAGCCCATCTCAAACCCTGAGAACAAACAAGAGACAAGCAAGTCTGAGCCTTTCAATCCAACATGGCCCCACGGCTAATGGGACCAGCCAGCTGGGAACCCAGCAGAACCACCGAAATCCTGTGGGAAATGGCCCATGTGACACAAACTGCAATAAACTGGGCTTTTTTTTTTGGTTTCCACAACGGAAAGACTAGGCTGGGATCCATGGCTTATAATTCTACAGGGGAGTCAGCTCAAGAGGGCAAGGCACTTGTTATTGTTGTTTATTCATTTCAGTCGTGCCCACCTCTCCGTGACCCCATTTGGAGTTTTCTTGGCAGAGATTCTAGAGTGGTTTGCCATTTCCTTCTCCAGCTCATTTTACAGACGAGAAAACTGAGGCAAACAGGGTCACACAGCTAGGAAGTGTCTAAGGCCAGATTTGAACTCAGGTCTTCCTGACTACAGGCCCAGCACTCTATCCACTGAGCCACCTAGCTGCCCAGTTAATTAACTAATAATAATTTAGAGTTAGCTCAGGCTAATAATGATTGATTTATTATTAACATAATTTGTTAGTTGTGAATTCCTTGCTAATTAAGCTCTGACTCTGTGCCAAACACTGGGCTCCACTCGGCAGGATGTGTCACTCTCAGGAATGAGGTGATCACGCACCACGAGGAGTCATGGGGCATTCCCCCGAGAAAGTCGCCAACCACCCTCCACTCGTCTTCTG